AAATCCACGGCAAGAATCACAATGGCTGAAGGAACACAGAGTAAGAAACTGACAAGTTGTTCCCAGTGACACTGTGCTCCATGTGCTGGGCTAAATAGCTGCTGACCAGTGCAGCTCATCAGGAGGGGTGAAGCTACCGCCTTGTGAGTAGCCTCACTGACCTCCATGTCTTCTGTCAGCCCTGCAAATTCACAGATCAGGTGGAGGAGGCAATGCCTCCTCATCCCCTCTAGCCAGCTGCAGCTGTGCACCTCTCCACTGCTCTTCCTGCAGGACCTCTGCTTTCCAGCTGCAGCTGTGCCTCTCCTTTTCCTCCATCAGCTAGCCATTTGTCTAGTTGCCCCTCTGGTGACCTCTCCACCGATCCTGGCCTCTCCACTCCTGCCTCGGAGCCCTCAGCAACTTCTCAGCACTCCTCCATCCCCACTTCAAAGTCCCTGGAGCTGGCTCTTCCTTCTAGTCCTAGCTGGCTTCCTCAGAGTGGAACAGGACAATTAACCAAAGGAACATGTCTGCGTCCACTCCACCACGCCCGCCCCCTCATGGCAGCCAACCTAACACCAGCATTCTCAGCTAGCCCTCTGCCAGCACTTCTTCCTGACCAATGGTCCACCGGTGCTCCTCCAATGCAATATTGATATTGGATTTCAATATCAGGAATCTCCTCTTCCACCTTCTTTCTTTCCCACCTCCATTTCCCTCCTCCCCAAACAAGGTCATCTTTTTTTTAAAAAAGGACCAGCAGTTCCTCATACAAGATTAAGTACTAACTATGTTATAAAACATCATATACCTGATACTGATATTGATATCCATGCCTGATATTGAAATTCTGGTGGATTTCAATAGGAGATGTATCCTTCCTGGGCACCATCTCCCCCCCCCCCCTCAAGTGATCACATAACAGCAGTGAGGTGTTTAAGGGGTTTGCTATAGCTTTAAACAGAATTATAATTTACTTCTTTTCAAATGTCTACACCAGGGGTGTCAAACATTTCATTGAGGGCCGCATCAGGGTTGTGTTTGACCTTGGGGGGTGGGGGGCAGGTTGAACATGGCCAGCTTGACTTCACTCGTGTCGGGAGCGCCTGTGGTGGCCCAAGCACTCTGCCAGAGAAAACAGGCTCCTGAGCTCTGTTTTAGGCTGGGACAGCCTCTTTGCCACCCTCTGTCAGTGAAAATGGAGCTGGGCGGGGGGGGACTGTGCATGGCCCTCGCAAGCTCTGCTTTTGGCTAGCATGGCCTCCTACAGCCCTCTGCCAGTAAAAATGGAGCACGTGGCCCTCCCGATCTCCATTTTTGCTGGCAGAGGCACTACGGGCTGGTCCTTCGCTGTTTCCAGGGCAGCCCCATGGGCGAGATCTAAGCACCCTGCGGGCCTTGAGTTCAACACCCCTGGTCTACACCATAAATTCTTCTCAATTCTCCCTCCTTCCCTCTCCCTCTCCTTGTTGGAATTTAATGAGATTGGATTTGATCAGGGTAGTGATTGCAACCCCAAAATTCTTAAACTCTGAACACATCACTGCCCTGATGGGATCACTGGGGTTGGGGGTTGGAGAGAGAAAGGATACACCTGATATTGACATCCACCAGAATTTCAATATCAGGCATGGATTTCAATGTCAATAGCAAGCATATCTTAGATACTGTATATTCAGTAAAAATAAATAGCAAGTAACATTATGTTCTCAGAATTATTGTACTCTTTTCAGATGCACAGGCTTGTGATCCTGTTTTAGTTTTCAAGGTTCTTGAAGCAAGTGCTTGCTATTGAGAGTGCTGATGAAAAGAAGTGAAATACTAGTGAATTGTCAGGTAGATCTTTACAATAAGATAGGCACTGTATTTTTCCCCCTCAAAACAATGATCACATTCATTTTCTTTTCAAGGATATGATCTTTGTAGATTACACTTAAATGTCTATTAGTTGCAACAGTTCATTTTTTTGTCCTCTATCTTGCTGATTTTTTAAAAAATATTTAAGGCATTGACTGTAGAGTTGTAATTGCAGGAAAGTCATTATCTTGATGGCAAACCTCAGATAAGGACAAAAGCAAATACAACTCAGGCAAACAAAATCACTAAATGCAAAGAAGGATTAGAGAGAGGAAGTAAACGTGTTACACTTTAACTAGAGATAATTAATTGTGTTAATTACTATGCTAGACAGTAACAGGCTGATCAACAACCAAAGTTAACCAATGTTAGAGGATTACTAGAAATGTGTATAAATACAAGACTAGACTCCAATAAAGTCATCATGATTCATGTGATCATGATCAAACACCTCGACTGCCTCGTCATTGCAACAATTGACCTAATAGTCTTACTGATGGCCATTTCATATTCCATTATTACTTTCCCAGCAGTGTACAACAACTGTTATAAACATGTAAATGGGGGATAGTTCTTTCTTGGAAGCAATGGTAAAGACACAGAGATTCTAGTCTTTCTATCATTTTTTTAAGTTTGTGAGGAGGAAAGAATTCTGAGAGCATAATGTTCAATCAGAATGGAGCTGGAAGGGACCTTTCAGGTCTTTTAGTCCAACCCTCTGCTCAAGCAGGAGACCCCATACCATTTCAGACAAGTGACTGTCCAGTCTCTTCTTAAAAACCTGCAGTGATGAAGCACTTCTGATGGCAAGCTGTTTCACTGGTTAATTCTTCTCACTGTTAGGAAGTTTCTCCTTAATTCCAGGTTGCTTCTCTCCTTTATTAGTTTCCATCCATATTTTCTTGTCCTGCCCACTGGTGCTTTGGAAAATAAGTTGGCCCCCTTTTCTTTGTGGCAGCCCATCGAATACTGGAATACTGCTACCATGTCACCCCATGTCTTTTTCTCTAGACTCGCCAAACCTAAATCCTGCACCCATTCTTCACATTTTTTAGTCTGCAGGCCTTTGGTCATCTTAGTTGCTCTTTGCACTTTTTTCAAATTCTCATCTTTTTTGTAGTGTGGTGACCAAAACTGGATGCAGTATTCCAGGTGTGATCTTACTAAGGTTTTATGAAGTTGTACTGATACTTCACATGATTTTGATTCTATGCCTCTGTTTATACAACCAAGAATCATATTAGTTTTTTTGGCTGCTGCTGCACATTTATGGCTCATATTTAAGTGATTGTCCATTAGGATTCCAAGGTCCCTCTCACAGTTACTGTTTTTGAGCCAGGTTTTGCCTAATGTGTACTTGAGTTTGTCTTCTGGGATGTTGGCTATTCCTGCCAACTTAGTGTCATCTGCAAGTTTGATGAGTTCCCCTTCTGTTCCCTCATCTAAGTCATTTATGAAGATATTGAAGAGTTACTGGGTCTAAGACGAAACCCCACTGCGTACTTGCCTCCATGTAGATGTTGTACCATTAAGGACAACTCGTTGAGTACAGTTTGTCAGCCAGTTACAAATCGATCTGGTAGTGATGCTGTCTATCCCACATTTTTCTTGCTTACCAAGAACTAGGTTGTGGTCTACTTTGTTGAATGCCTTGCTGAAGTGTAAGTATACTGTCAGACTATATTCATGAACTGGAATAGAGCTTAGTAACAAGGTCAGCCAATGAGAGCTGAATTGGGGCTGAAACTTAGAATCTGGGTGTGGTTTATCTGTTCTGTGTTCAGCTCTAAAGTGAAAGAGAAACTTGCTTAAACTGATATCTGCTCTGAGTGGCGGCTGCTGCTTGTGTTTTTGGTTATGTTATATTGAAAGAATCTACAAATGGTATTGTAAACTTTACTCGTTTATTATGTTTATAAAGAAATTTATGATCCTGCTGAATCAATCATCTGTGTGTTTTCTGGACTTGAATTTCTGCTGCAAACTCTAACATATACTACCCATATGTTCACAGCATTTCACTGGCATACTAATTTAGTCACTTTTCAAAGACTGAAATAAGATTGGTTTGGCATGATATGTTTTTAACAAACCCTTGCTGACTTCTAGTTATAACTTTGTTTGTTTCTAGATGTTCGCTGTGACTATTTTACCTTGGTTCTGTCTTGTATTTTTCCACAGGAAGA